AGGAAAAGGAGGACATGGATGCGATCATGGTCAGAATTCATTTGATCGTTATTATCGATTATGGTATCTATTATTATTTAGCATCAATCTCGAAAGATCCAGTGCCTTTCATTCGATAGAAAGATGATATGCCCAAGGATCTTCTTGATCCCTCGCAACAAGCTATCTTCAAAACGTATAAGATGGACCCGCACTCTAAAAACTTTCCGCCTTCTTATTACGAGGATATGGCCTGGTCGCAACGACGAAACGGTTCTATATATGATCTCTATTATCCGTCCAAGAGATTTCGATATATATATAGGACCAGGCTCGTTCCTAAAGCATGTTTTGCATATGGATAAGAAATGTGATGATTTCTTTGTTGGGTGGGTATTTGTCAATGTATAGCTCTTTCAGGCAAGTTGTATCCATTCATTCCCGAGTTCTGTCTGAAGAATAAATTCGTATAAAAGTCAAGCGGGAATAAGTCGTCCACGTATTTCGCAATTTATGGGATTCATATCACGATGAGATTGACCTGATTTCCCCATCTCCGTCACCGAAGAAGTCCAGTGCAGAAGCATCATCGTCGCCAATCGCAAAGCGTAGCCGAACCTCAGAGCCATCGATGCCCTCGAACATGGCAGCGGGTATTCCCAATCCTAATAATTTTGGCATTGTGGAAGAACAGCGGGCTTTTACGCTTCGGGATAATGCAACAGGGTATTTTGGTTTCCTCATGCATATAAATTGATGGTATAGATACGAAATCATGTGAGATTTTTATTTCGCTCATTGGGGCGTTGCTACATATATTCAAAAGCTTCCTCATGCATACAAGTTATGGGATAGATACGAAATCATGCGATGATTTTGATTCGCTTATTGGGGCGTTGCTACATATATTCAAAAGCTTCCTCATGCATACAAATACATGCGATGATTTTATTTCGCTTATTGGGACGTTGTTATATATATTCAAAAGCTTCTTCATGTATACACGTTGATGATATAGATATGAGAATCATGAGATATTTTTCTTTCGCTTATTGGGGCGTTGCTACGTATATTCAAAAGCTTCCTCATGCATACACGTTGATGATATAGATACGAAATCATGTGAGGTTTTTATTTCGCTTGTTGGGCGTTGCTATATTTATTCAAAAGCTTCCTCATGCATCCAAGTTATGGGATAAGAATGAAATCATGAGATATTTTTGACTCGCTTATTGTGGCGTTGTTATATATATTCAAAAGCATATGCCCAAAGCAAGCAGATATGAATGAGAAGAATGAGGATTCGGATGATAACGACATCATTCCGAAGATTGGAGAGAAAGACGTCTTCGAAAGAGACCTTGAACGCTTGATGGAATAGCATCACAGCGAGGACATGGATGACGTAGAGGATTAGAGCACGTTAAAGTCGATCCGCCGATGAAGCCTGACGAGATGCCGACAACATACGGTAGAGTAGAATAGCGCGCTCTATCACAAAATACCATTTTCACGATGAAGGCGTGTCAAAAATAAAGATTTCATGTCTTATTGTTGCTTGCTCGCTATTGTGCAACTATGCTTGTTTAATCGTGATAATGTTGCTGATGTTCAGTTTCGTCTCGAGCTAGTCAGAAAAGATAGAAAAGGATGGCGTTATATGCAGATTGGATTGCTTTCAGGCAAGCTGTCCTCACTGCTGATTTTGTGAACAGAACAGAGTTCCTCCATATGGTGAAGCACAGTCGTGTCGAAGATCGAGGAAATTTTCCTGATACGTCAGCTACACGAGCTTTACTGACATACCAGGCCCTTCGTCTTGTCCCTCAAAGATATGAGTGTCCGAAATATTCTATTTCTTTCAAATTGAAATTCAAATGAGTTCACGACAAGGTTTCGATAGTGCGAAGATCCTTCCACAGGTTCACCTACGGAAACCTTGTTACGACTTCTCTGTCCTCCAAAATGAAAAGGTTCGTGAAACTTTCCAACGCAACGTCCAGAAGCTGAGCACTGTGCCGGTCCGAATAATTCACTGGGTCACTCAATCGGTAGGAGTGACGGGCGGTGTGTACAAAGGGCAAGCCTAAACGCAGGCCCCACACAATTCTGAAATCAGCCCAACCCCGGACCAATCCCGGACCAACACTTGGACCAATCCCGGACCAACACTTGGACCAATCCCGGACCAACCCAGGGACCAAATGATATAGAAACAGAACCCCCTCAGAATACAACCCGATAGCGATTGTAATTCAAATCAGACCACTAGAAATGGTATGGCCCTCGTTATCAGCAAGGCTGGGAAGAATTTGATTCCAAAGATTACTCGGTAAGTACTATAGGATTCTTCCGAGGCACGAAATCCGATTCGTGGATGTCCAAGTTTGATTGCTTTCTCATATAGGCCTACGACTATAATCGTCAAATAATTCTTCGAGAGCTGCATCCGCTACTTCATACAAATATTGATGGGTGGCTACGCATATTTCAGGAGACGTTGTATGAATGATTCGATATCCAGACGCATGCTGATAGCCCTATGATCCAGAAATTGCTTGAGACCTCATCTACGACTATATGTGTATCCATTCACTCTAGCTCATCGAAGAAGAAACCTGCTTCATCTATTACGTCCTTCAAATGATCTTTATCGAAACGTACGTCGAATAAGAAATCTTCGGCATCTTTGGCGGTACGGAAAAAACCAAGTGTTGCCAAAAAGCACCTCAAGGAAAAATATCGCGGGCGAGTTTTTATTGCTGATATGACAGACCTCAACAAAAGGAAACCAAGCATTATATCCAAGCATGGGCGACCTCAACGTGACCAAATCTGGCTTTGGGGGGGCCGTCTTGAAAAGATATGCGGAAATCTATTTCTTTTCCGAATCCTTGACCATCCGGATGATGCGTATGATGAACGTCCACGTGGGCATAAAGAGATGCTACGAAATATCAACTCTCTCGGCATCAAGAAGCACGACATCTTCGTCAGTGACAAATGGAAAGTCACAGTGCCTGCGTTCAGCATTTCGTGAAGCCAGTAATCTATCTGAGTATGATTTGCCGCATGAGATTGAAAATCACAATTTAGGTGAGCTTATAAACGAGAATGGTTTCAGCACAAATGTAATAGAAGTCAAATGGAGCATTATCAAACGTTGGATTCGTAATAAGATGTCCGGCAAATTGCCTGCGGATTCTGATCGCCAAAAGTGGCGACTACTGATCGGGGAATTTCAAGTCTGAAATCTTCTGAGGGCAATGAACCCCCAATATTTTGATCGGCGAAATATCGTTATTGCTGCTTTCACTGCAATCCTGAAGCTTTTTCGGATTGAGTGAGCGACACAGAACATGGGAATATATGTAAACGCCCCAAAAAAGAATTCTCTCTGCTGCTTCTCTGTGCATTTGAATGTCACACATATATCGAAATAATAGGATTCAATAAACAACTAAAATATTTTGTTGTGAGTGGTCAGGTGCAGGTGCGAAAATTTTCTGTTATAAAAAATCGATCTGTATCCGCTGCCTTGATTTTTTGAAAGCATTAAAATAGCAAAAACGCAGGGGACAGATTTCGGCTTTAAACTGATAAATAATAAGAAAGGGAGGATTACGTGTAGCGTATTTTAGGAATACGATAAAATTACGAAATCGAACGAAAGTATAATTTTCTTTATTATATATATACATATATTTATATATATATATATATATTTCATATTGAATTTAGAAGGTTTTAAGAGATATGGTCGTATTTGGAAAATTCTGAATAATAATAATTATTGATTCTAGGAATTTTATAAATACTATTTGGAAGTCTGAAAAAAAATCGAGATATATTTCTGTAAATTTTTCTATGATATGACGCGTAGTTGGAATTTTCTTTCTTTTCTAGATCATTTGAAAAAATTAAAATAGGTCTTATTCCCTAAGATCTTCTAGATCAAGATCTATTCTTATAATTCTAATTCTTTTCGGGAGGCGCTTCGGCTGCAAGTGCATGTTTGCAAGTTGTTTTGTCAGGACCACCCTGACCACACCGCCGCACCTAAAGGGCTCGGCCGTATCACTTCGGCTCGTTGCCGCAATGTCGTCCCAGCCTGGTTCAGGGTCCACACCGCAGGGCTTCGCCACCAATACTCTGGCGACGCAACAGTTTCTGGAGCAGCGTGCTACATATCAAACCGCGGAGTACAAGGCGGTTCAGGGCGCTTTTTTCGACCCGCCGCGGGTCAAGCATACTGCACCCACTCCGGTGCAAAGCGGCTTGACCACACCGCAGGAAGATTCCGTGGCAGATGAGGTTATGAGGGAGGCTGAGGAGCACGCAGAGCCACCGGAAGAGCGTAATTTGCTTACGCCTTTTTCTCTGCAGGACCAGGCCGCCTTGGAAGTTACCTTAGGAAGCTTGGGAGTCAACATCAACGACCAAAACGCCGTCCAGGCCTGGGGCCAAAGGTAGCCAACCAACAATGCCGAGATCTTCAACATGATTCGTGCATACCATGAAAAAGTGATCCGGCCGGAGTACTACTCTTTGGTTTGCCAGCTGGAAGCGGGCCTGAAAGCCGTTGATGATCGCTGCTTCAGGTCAAAAAGGAGGTCGCATGGATGGCTTCGGAGAACAGGCTTTTGCAGAAACATGCCTGTGGTATCCAGCTCTTGACCACAGGCTGGCCGAATGCTCTGAAGCCTGCAGAAAGAGTGTACATGATTTCGTGGATGGTTTCGCAAGTTCCTGCCTTGGTGAACTTTTTGAAGCTGAGGGGCTATGTCTCCGACCACAACGCCTCGGAGCTGGAAAGGCACATGAACGTTTTCGCCCAAGAACCGACCACAGTGCCTCAGTCGGAGGGGTTCTATTTCAGCATGACCCTTCTCAGCTTTAAAAGTTGGGACACGCGGTCTGCTTTTTTGAACCACTACGGTGGAAGCTCCGGGGTGCCAGTCTATAAGGACGAGAGCACCCCCATTCACAACAAGCATCTGAAGGTGGCACCTTGCAGTCCGCAGTGGCAGCGCAAGCTAGAGGCGCCGTTGCGTGTAATTTTAAATCATGTGAACAAACACCCGGAACACAACGCCTCCTCCCGTCTCACCATTTTGTGGAAGACCCTCACGCTTCTGGCTCCTCAGCAAGACGCTGAATTTCACGAGGACCAGACCGCCTGGGCAAGGCTTCACTATGGCCAGGAGGCAGGCGAGTTTGTTTGCAGGCTTGAGGTTGTTCCGGCACTTCTCGCAATTTTGAATGGCCCACCTTCGGAATCCGATTCCAAGACCACATCACTTTGGGAAGAGCAGTGGTACCAAACGATGTGGGGGAATCATGCTGAGCTTGATCGAATGGATGCCGAAGCCTTTTCGAGTGCCAAAAAGGATGCAGTCCTTTCTGGCAAGGGCCTTCAGAAAGGAAAGGGCAAAAGGCACTGGTCTTCCTCTGCTGTGCATACCAGTGCTTACTCTCCGTATCCATTCGATCTCCATTTTCAAGTTGTGGAAGCGGTCTATTTTTCATGGGATGAGTTCTGTGATAAGTATAGAAAGGAAGACGGCAAGGTGGGTGACTACGAAGTTGCCACTGTACAGGGCCGCCCACCAGTGGGGATAGGAGCTGAGCTCCGATCCGACCACACCGCCACGGACTTTGCAAGTTTCGGCGCCACGCCAGCGGCTTCCACAGCCACACCGGCGCACGCTCCAGCCCCGACCACGCCGCCGACAAAGGGTGGGAAGGGCAAAGGATCCTGAAGTTTTGGTTCCCGAATTTTCGTGGCCCCGCTCGGCCCACAACGCCTTTGCCTGCAGGCTTTTGGGTTGAGCTTTCCCGACAAGGAGCTTGCAGCACCTTTTGAAATTTTTGAGTGCTCGCCCTTGTCCTGCAATCGGGCTTCGTGGTACTTTGGGAAAATCCCGGAGGACCACACCGCCCCTTTCTTCGAATTTGCATGTTTCTCAGGTCTCGATTACAACGCCCTAGGCTCACCCGATAGCCCGAATAAGCTTACTTCCAAAAAGCGAAATAAGCTTATGCACATCATCAACGGTAACACTGTCCTTTCACTAGCAGATCTTATCCCGAGCAAAAGAACCACAATTTCGATTGCACAGCTTTTGGAACAGAGACCTCAGGAATCCCAGTCGCAAGCGCAAGGTTACAGTAGAAGTTTCTTGCTGCAGTGCCGACAGCCAAAAGAAGAAGGGTCGTGTCCGTTTGTGCCGATCACAACGCACGCTTTCACCCCCAACAAGCCCAAGCCCTCCCGAACAGGTAGGCGAATTAAAATCAGAACGCGCGATGGAGTTGTTGTGATTTCTAAGAAACCACGACCACAACGCATAATTTCAGGAATTCAGCTCCCAATTAATTCAACCACACGCCGAAAACCGCCTCCACGAGGCGCGCCGGGACCTCCCCCAGGGAGGGACGAAGAGTTCAACCCGAACAAGACGCGGGCACAAACCTCCGAGCGGGGTCCGGGACGCACGGTGCGCCGCAGGGCGTATCGCCGCTGGATGCGAGGAGGTACAAAGGTACAGGTGAAGGAGCCGGGCCCTCCCCACCTTGCCCGTCTCAGCCCCAAGACGCCGCCCTTACCAGGGCCCAATGGTTCAAGCAAAACATTCACTGGCAGGACCAGCTGAAAAGAAATAAAAAGAAAAAGCCGGTCAAACATCCGACCACACCGCCTCTTCCGTACGATACTAAGATAAAGGTAAGTTCGATCAATGTTCAGGGTTTCGCGGACACCCTAAAGCTTAAGAACGCCATTCTTATGATGCAGGAGCATAAGCTTGATGTTCTTATGCTATCAGAAACTAAAACCACGTCTTACTACTCGTATCAGTCAGAAAAGCATTTGGTGATACTTTCAGGCAACACAAAGGACAGGTATGCAGGAGTGGGTGCAATCATTGCGCCGCATCTTCGACCACACCTCTTAGATGTGTTGCAGGTTTCTACTCGATTGCTTCATTTGACTTTTCGGAAAAAAGGCGGTAACATTCATATTGTAGGAGCGTATGCCCCACACTCAGGATTGGAATATGAAGAGGTACGGGTCCCATTTTGGGATAGCCTCGAGGAACACATTGACAAAATTCCCCAACCCGAACCGGTTTATCTAGTAGGTGATTTCAATGTTAGGTTTCAGGCCCAACACGCTAATGATGAAGGCGTCACAGGTCCATTCACGTACGGTAAAGGTTCTAGGTTCATTGACCACAACGCGCAGTCCAACAGATCGCTTTGTGTTCGAACCATGCAACTTCTAGGTATGGTGGAGGCGGCCTCTTGGATCACGTCTAACCCTATACATCACATCACCTACAAAGATAAAGCAGCACCACCCCCGGATTGGTCACAGTTTGTTTTGGACCCTCTGCCCATGCAACAGATTTACACCATGCTGCACCGTAAACTAGACCCTGACAAGGATCTTGCTCTTTCTACGACAGCTACGGTACGATCTTTCCTAGACCTCCCGGACCTACTTCCCCCACCCAAGACCACACCGCAGATTGACCCGCTTCGTTTTCAGAGGTTGGATCATCTGTTCGTTCGGAAGCAGTGGCTTAACTCTGTACATCAATGCAGATCCAAGCTCTACACGGGTTTTCCCACGGATCACTACCTGGTGGTTTCGGAGATTAAGGTTCGCCTAGCAGCCAAACCACAACGCCCCCCTCGCACCCCAAAGCTTGAGCTGCAAGACCCCACCGAACAGGAAAAGCAGGAGTTTAACGCCATCTTCGGAGAACTTATACAGGAAAACCCCCCAGAACGAAACCTTCTCCCTCCGGACCACACCGCCTCAATACACTACTTTACGGATGGATCGGGTTCTTCGGGCAGATGTTCTAAACACACCTCAGCTGGATGGGGTTGGTGTAGGCGAACTCCCGAAGGCTGGGAAGATGCTTATGATCCAGTAATCACAGATCCCGACCACAACGCGTATAGGGGAGCAGGAGTCGGCTCAAATAACACTGGGGAGGTCTCAGCTATCGTGGAAGCTTTGCTCCATGCCCACCAACACTTTTACCACAACGTTCATATTCATACCGATAGCCAATGGTCCAAGAACGTCATCACAGGAAAGTGGCGGGCGCAGCGCAACAAAACGCTTGTGAACATGGCGAAACACCTTTGCAAAATTGCGCCCATGCGCGTCACCTTCCACTGGATCAGAGCGCACAAAGGCAACGAAGGCAACGAGAGAGCGGATAAGCTCTCTAATCAGGGACGCAAAGCCAAGGACCGCCAAGGAACCACAGCGCAGCACCCGGAAGTCACAACCACCACAACGCCAATCAGGGAGGACGCCTTCACTGAGGTCCTTCAAGAAGCGGCCAGGCAAACCTTTTTAAACGAAACTCGCAGACGACGCACGCCGTGGATCACGGAATCTACCCTCAACCTTTTACAGGACGCACGCATTGCGGAAGCGCAGGGAGATCACAACGCAAAGCACAAGCGAAACGTAGCCAAGCGCTCCGCAAGGAAAGACAAAGTTAAGTGGGTTCACGACCAATTGCTGGAGGACCCCAGCGCAGAACACAGAGGATTATGGAGTACAGTACGTCGCCAGAAGGCAGGCTTTAGAGGCAAAAAATCTCACCTTGTGGTGGATAATAAGCCAGTTCCATGGAGCAGGACTCACCAGGCTTTTCGAGACCATCTGCAGAATACGCAATGGGCGGCACACGAAGACACCACCGAAAGATCAAAGGAATTAAACTCAAAACGCGCACTGCGCCCCCCATCACCAGACGAATCTCCCTTCTCACTAGAGGACCTCCAATCAGCGATAAACAAGCTCAGGAAGCGCAAGGCGCCAGGCCCAGACCACACCGCCAACGAACTCTTTCTTCTCTTAGACGATGACAATCAAAAACTACTTCTAGAATTTTACAATAAGATCTGGGAGGTAGAGGAAGTTCCAGAAGAATGGAAAGAGGCCATAGTGGTTTCAATCTATAAAGGCAAAGGCAAGGACACTGACCCTGCCAATTATCGACCCATTTCACTCCTCAACACAATCTATAAAATCTTTGCCGCAATGTTGCAAACCAGACTGGCCACAACACACGAGAAGAACTTGCGCAGTACACAGTATGGTTTCAGATCACACCGCGGGACACAACAACCACTTTTTGTTTTAAGAAGATCTATAGAATGGACGGAAATGACCAACAACCCATTATATTACCTTTTTCTGGATTGGAAACAAGCGTTCGACTCACTTGACCACAACGCTATGTTGATCGCTTTGCAGCGCTTCGGGTTGTCTAACAAATCTCTAACAGTCATTTCCTCCATTTATAAGGACCCCACCTTTATCGCCAAAGGAATTGATGACCACAACGCCAAAGGTAAATTCGTCAGGGATATCCCCTCAGCCCGTATCTGTTCATCATGGTGCTAACAGTAATTTTTGGAAGATGTTGATTGGGATCTGACAAGTAGAGGAATAGCTAGGAACACTTGGTCGGCCACCCGACCCACTTCAGATCTAGAGTATGCGGACGATACGCTTCTTATCGCCAGGACCACAATGCAACACTCAGAAATTTTGCACTCGCTGGAAAGATATTCTAGGCTCCATGGGATGCATTTGAATAAAGAAAAAATAGAACTTCTCGTGGATCCCCGCAGACCACAACCCAAACTTACTTTCGAAAACGGAGAAACAGTTCCGACCACAACGCAAATTAAGTACCTAGGGTCAATGATAGCCTGGGAAAAGCCTTTTGAAGCCGCGCTTAGACATAGAGCCGCGGTAGCAGAAACCAGCTACAAGAAACTCCGGCTTGTTTGGAATAGCTCCTTGCGTCGTAAGACCAAACTCCGCATATTCCAGTCAGTCTTTATCCCCACCTTAACCTACGGCCTCGACACCCTCACCCTCACAGACAAGCAAATAGACAGGGTAGATGCCTACTACTTCCGATTCCTGCGACGAGTGGTTAATATCAAGGC